TCTTTCCTACTTTTACTTTGTGAAAGTAATTGTGGGATTGAGGTTTTAAACCCCAAGAAATCTGGTACATGGAATAAATTACTCTTTATATGTATAAGCATGTTTATGCTTAAAGCAAGCAGATCATACTACAAAATTTTATAAGCAATCCCTGAAATTCCTGGCTACTACATTTGTCATAATAGGAAGAAACAATGTAACATTACATGTTACATGAATACTGCAGAAAACTGATGACATTTCTGCTTCAATTATTTCTAAAACAACAAAAGATAAACACCGCACAATGGAAATACACACATGGATACAAAACAAAGAGTTACTGTTTTCCGGTAAATGTAAAAGTACCTTCGTCTCAACATTCATCTTTAGTTATAATTTTTTAACCCTTGGGTTTATAAAGCACTACCTTCCATATCTCTAGAATTAATTAATATTAACTGTAAGGTTCTATAATTAAATATGTTTAACATTTCTTCATAACTGATTTTCAAAATACTATTTAATGAGCATAAAACAATTATCAATTTCTTTTAAAAATTAAGCTACTTCCAAATAGTTTCAAAAAGCTACTATGCTCCTAACATTCATCAAATTAACAATGTCAAATTATTTCTTCTACACTCAGTTTTGAGTGAACAAAACAATGTTTTAGAAATAAAACATTATTACAAATTACATTTTCAAGGAAAACTGCATTTCAAAGGACCTACTTCTTATCTAATTACTATCAAGGAAAATAATGATGTACCCATCAATACCTATAATGTGCTATTAACCAACAGACAGAAAGTATAGAATTGAGAAAAAAAGAAAAAGATATGTTTCTAATAATGGAATGATTACTTAAAATTATAACTTAAAATTAAAATATTTCACATTAATTCATTTTGAAGACCTGTTCTGGGCAACAATATATACAAAGCACTGCGCTGGTTACCGTACAATTTCAGGATTTCTTATTTCCTCATAAAGACCCCAATATTCAAAGGATTCTGAAATTTACAGTTATTAATATAACAAAAGAAAACACATTTTTGAAATAATGTACAACTGCCAAATATTTCGAGTTAAGAATAAAGATAATATTTTATCACATCATATTAACTATGCTCAACTAAGAACTCTCTCAAAGCCACTGTCAAATTTTCCATTAAATGCCCCAACAGTATAATCAGAGACACTATCAACTATATTAAAGAAACTGGGTATAGAGAAGATCCCTACTTGTTGTCTGCAGAATTACAAAGGGCTTTGGGGAAACTACATACTAGTCTATCATTTTTTAAAAGCCTTTATTACATTTTTGTGTTGTCTAGAAATGCTTCTAAAAAAAAACACTCAAGCAGATGAAAATTACAATGAAAGAGGGCCTACTGGACAAAGAAGTTACCTTCTAAATATTGCCAAAATATTATGAGTCATATTTTGCTTCTTCTATTATCCACCAAATCAAAAATAACCATTTAAAAATAAATTTTTAACCTAGCTCTTTTAAATTATAGCAATCAGATACATAGATTTACAAAACCTATGTAACCTAATAATTTGTCAACATCCCTTGGCAAAGACTACAAATACTTAATTTGAAAAAGCAGAACCAGCGCAGTATAAACTGAAGTTGCTTTCATGAAGGATAGTTCACATGTTCAAAATTGGTTTGGTAAATGTTGCAAACTAATAGTCTAGAGCAGTAAGAATGTATCAAACAGTAAGCATAACTACCAACAGAAATTTTAGTTAAAGGAAATTATGAAGTTGAGTAAAAGGACTGACACCTCTCATTAAAGGAAAAGTTAAACTGTATCAGCACTTGTTTTTAAAAATCCCAATTAGCAAATGATAAAAATATATTATCAACATTGTAACATTTTACAACAAATGTTCTTGAATTAATATCTCAAATAGAAGAAACTGTAATGGATTTAGAAACATTATAAAGCAACTTACTTCTGTAAGATTTTGCCAGAAATTATTGTCAGAAATTAGAATTTGCAATTTTAAAAAGACAAAAGTATAAAAAGCACATGCTAACTATAAATGAAAATAATACATTACAATTGTGATATACAATAAATCACTTTTGTTATTGCCATTATAAAAAAACATGGTATAATAATATACTCAGCATCATAAAGTTTGTCCCTTTATGCATGCATCTCCTTTATTTCAAAGGTTGGTATGCACACAATAATACATTGAAACACAAAAACTGAAGAAAGAATAATTGTAACTAGAATTGTACAACATAATAATGAACATCTCATAAAGAAAAACTCCTCAGGGGAAAATAATGAAATCAAAATTAACCACAGAATTTTAGAGCTCAAACTGCTTAGAGATTAACTCAATCATCTCATTTTACATGTGGGAAAAATGAACTCACAATCTCACCCAATCTTCCTTCAGCAAGTAATAATCTTTTTGCCTCAATGTTTGTGGCTGTTTACTAATCAGGATGATGGTTGCTAAAAGTGGTGGGGGTATCTGTAGCAATTTCTAAAAATAAGACAACAATGAAGTTTGCCATACTGAATAAATCTTCCTCTCATGAAAGATTTCTCCACAGTAGGCAATGATGTTTGATTGAAGTTTGATGGCATTTTACCAGTAGTAAAACTTCTATCAAAATTGGAGTCAATCCTCTCAAACCACACCATTGCTTTATCAACCAAGTTTACAGAACATTCCGAATTCTCTGTAATCATTTAACAACAGTCCCAGCATCTTTCCCAGGAGTACTTTCCATTCCCAGGAATCACTTTCTTTGCTCATCCATAAGAAGCAACTCCTCCTTCATTCAAGTTTTATCATGAGATTACAGCAATTCAGTCACATCTTCAGACTCCACTTCTAATTCTAGTTATCTTGATATTTCCACTACATCTGCAGTTACTTCCTCTATAGAAGCTTTGAACCCCTCAAAGTCATCCATGAGGACTGAAATCAACTTCTTCCAAACTCCTGTTAATGTAAATAGTTGACCTCCTTCCATTAATCATGAATATTCTTAATAGCATCTAGATTTATGAATCTTTTCCAGAAGGTTTTCAATTTTCTTTGTCCAGGTCTATCAGAAGAATTGCTATCTATGGTAGCTATAAGCCTTACAAAATGTATTTCTTAAATAATAAGACTCCAGATTCAAAATTACTGTTAATCCACAGGCTGCAGAATGAATGTCATGTTAACAGTCATGAAAACAACATTCATCTCCTTGCACATCTTCATCACACATGTAGGGTGACCAGGAGCATTGTCCTTGAGTGCTAATATTTTGAGAGAAGTCTTTTCAGGGCAGTACATCTTCACAGGCTTAAAATATTTAGTAAACCATGCAATAAACAGATGTACTGTCATTAAGGCTTTGTTGTTCCATTTATAGAGCATGAGTGGTGAAGATTTAGCATAGTTCTTAAGGCACGTTGGATTCTCAGAATGGTAGATGAGTATTGTCTTCAACTTAAAAAGTCACCGGGTACTTCAGCCCCTAACGAGAGTCAGCCTGACTTTTGAAGTTTTGAAGCAAGGCACTGACTTCTCCTCTCTAGCTATGTAAGTCCTAGGCAGCATCTTCTTCCAAGAGAAGGCTACTTTGTCTACACCAAAAATCTGTTTAGTGTAGCCACTTTCATCTATTAACTGAACTAGATATGGGTAACCTGCTATAGTTTCTATGTCAGCACTGGCTGTCTCACCTTGCACTTTCATGTTATGGAGATGGTTTCTTTTACACTTCATGAACCAACCTCTGCTAGCTTCCAATTTTTCTTCTGCAGCTTTCTCAAGTCTCTCAGCATTTATAGAATTGAGAGAGTTAAGGCCTTGCTCTACATTTAAGGGAATGTTGTAGCTGGTTTGATCTGCTATCTGGACCACTCAAACTTTATATCAACGATAAGGCTGTTTCACTTTCTTGTCATTCCTGTGTTCACTGGAGTAGCACTTTTAATTTCCTGGAGACCTTTCCTTTGAATTCACAATGTGGCTATTTGGCGAAAGAGGCCTAGCTTTCAAGCCTCATCTTGGCTTTTGACACTCCTTCTTCACTAAGCTTAATTATTTCTAGCTTTTGATTTAAAGTAGAGTTGTGGGACTCTTCCTTTCACTTAAACATTTACAGGCCATTGTAGGGTTATTAATTGGCCTAACTTCAATACTGTTGTATCTCAGGGATTAGGAGAAGGGAGAGAGAGGGGGGAGCTGGTCAGTGGAGAACCCAGAACACACACATTTACTAATTAAGTTCACTGTCTTAGATGGGTACACTTCTTGGTACCCCAAAACACTACAATAGTAACAGCAAAGATCAGTGATCACAGATCACAATAGCTAAAATAATAGTGAAAACTTGTAAAATACTGGGAGAATTACCAAAATAAGACAAAGAGGCAAAAAGTGAGCACGTTATTGAAAAAATGGTACCAAAGCCTTGCTTAATGCAAGGTTGCCACAAACCCTCAATTTGTTTTAAACACACACACACACACACACACACACACACACAATAACCATGAAGTACAATAAAGTAATGCATGATAAAATGGCATATGCTGGTATTTAAAATAAATTTCCCTTGCATCAAGAAATTAACATGACTTCAATAAAAGTGACAAAAAATGTTTTAAGCCCTCTTTATGCCTCACATAAACACTCCCTTCAAAAAAATCATGAGTCTTCAAAGCATCCATATTAAACTAAGTGCTCTTTCACATTGCTTATAAAAATTACCATCAATGATATATCAAATTATTCAAAAGTTATAATTAACCATTTATGAATAACAAGCTACTAATCTCACATAATTGAAAAATCTTTAAAATAAGTATATTTTTATTATTTTAATTCATTGGAATAAATAAAGCTATCTTAGTTCTTATTTAAATCTTACCTTTTAGAGTACTATTTCTCTGAAATTACAACTTCAAGAAAAAAGAAACTTATCTGATGATCCCAAAGCCAAACCCATACTAACAAACAAGAAAATTCACTTTTCATACCTTAAGACAGCAGTGTACATAACAATAATGAAGCAGGTTATCAGAAGGTTGAGTAAGGCTGCTGACCACATGCACCAACTGTTCAGCATACATGGGCACTGAATGTTCCAGATTAATTTTATCCACCAATATTTGAATGGATGGTAAAGGCCGAAGAGACTGGAAGTTAGTAGTATTCGTGAAGTTACTGGAGTTCTGGAAAATAATAGTGTTCACTTTATATTTTAAAAGTGGAGCAGTGACTGAATTGCAATTCCCCCTATTCAAGCTTGAGACCTGCACATTTGCAGTGATATCAAATCAATCTAGAAATGATGCCTTTCTACAGAAATCTCTTGCTATAACCAAATAACAAACGTCTTTCTAATATTTTAAATATGTCCCAGACTTCAAAGAGTGCATATTTTTTGCAAAATTATTGCCCTTTTAGCTCAAGTTCTTTTTCTTTTTCCATCAACTGGAATAGTATCACTACACGCCTCAGTATGATGAAGATATTTTATTAAGCTTAATTATTCCAAAATGTTTTCTAGAATCCAAAAGTCAGAAACATTTAGCTCACTAGGGAACTAAATGGACTAAACATTTCCTGTTTGCAGGAAAGAAAAATTCCTGCTCTCTATCATGTCTACTAGCAATACACATCTTCAGGACTAATAAAGTTGTAAAAATCTTGAGGAGGGCACAGTATTCTCAGTTTTTACAGAATCTTTCTGAGCTTTCAAATAAACACAGGTAAGTTTCAAGATGTCCAGCACATACACCCTGAGTAGCAAGTGACCCCTGTCCTAAAACTCACTCATTCACTTCCTTAAAATGCTCTACTTATGGTTCTCAATGAGTAATGCCATGATTTTCTATCCAGAAGAATATGACAGAATATAAGAAGAGCAGTTTCATGGCTTTGTCTGTCTTTCATTGTCACAATGATATTGGCCTTTAGAAGGCATTGGCCAAACATAGTAAATGCTACATAATAATTCTCCAATCCAAAAAACCAAAAATGCTATTACTGAGAATCACTGTGCTTAAAACTAAGTTGAAAATATAATCCTGATTTTTTACTCATTACTAATAATTTTTAAACCACCATTTATTTTGGAACTACATTGCTATTTTAAGTGACTTTCTTTGGAATTACTAAGAAATAACACAGAGTAAAGCACACAAATCTGAAGGGTAGGGCTGAATGAATTTTTACATCCATAACCACCACCCAACTGAAGGACTCTACAAGGCTGTCCCACATCCCTTTCAAGGCAATACTAAATCCTCAACAGATGTAGCTAATCACTTCAACTGCCATATATTAGTTTTCTCTCTTCTTGAACTTCATATAAACGAAATAATACAATATATAATTTTTCACTCAATATTATAACTGTGAGAATTATCTATGTTGTTCATTCTTTCAGTTCACATTTTTATCATTATGAAGTGGCTCTCTTTAATCCTAGTGATATTTCTTACCTTAAAATCTACTTTATCTCTTAGTAAAACAGCCATATAATCTTTTGGTTAGCATTTAAATGGTATATTTTTTCCATCCTTTTCCTTCAAATCTGTGTCCTTATGTTTTCCAGTTTCACAATTTAATTTGGTGCTTTTTTTTAATGGATTGAGGTCTCTTTTGAAATCTTTGACCTTTTTGTCTTTTTCCTTAAACAATTAGTCATAAATTCTATGTCTAATAATTCTAATACCTTAATCATCTCTAATTCTATTTATATCACTGATTTTTATTACATTTAATTCAATTGGTTCTACTTTTAGTATACCTCATAATTTTGTATCAAGCAGCTGTTATTATGGATAAAAAAAAATTAGAGGCTTTGACAATGCTGTCTTCCCCTAAAGTAAGTTAACTATTCTTTGGCAAACAGACAGAATACAAGTATATTATCATGGTCCTATCCAGGAATGGAATTAGGCTTTCTTAGCCCAATCTATTTCAATCTGTACTTATTCCTAGGGTGTAGCCCTTATAAGTTTTCAAACGAAGGTCTCAGGTGCTAATGTAGCAGGGTCTGAACTCTAATTGTAGATATACAGCACCATGCAGATAGTAAAATTTCTACTTTGCTTTCTGCTGGGTTTCCTGAAGTCTTGCATTATACATAGGCAGCTTAGGAATTAGCCAACAATCTAAAGAAAATTGTATACAAATTTGTGGGTTGCCTTCTGAGTGAGGCCTCCTTGTTAGCATTTTTCCCTTTGAGGAGCATACAGGAAGACTACACATGGCTAACAAAAGAATCTCTATGCTTGAAGATATCTCAGTAGAAACTGTCAAAATTGAAAAGCAAGCCAAGAAAAAGAATCCAGAATATTTAAGATCTGTGGGACAACTCCAAAAGATGTAACATACACATAATAGAAATTCTACAGGGAGAAAAAAGAGAGAAAGAAACGCAAGAAACATCTGAAAAAATAATGACTGGGAATTTCTTCAAATTAATGTCAGACACCAAACCAGAAACCCAGGAAACTCAGAGAACACCAAGAAGGATAAATGCAACAACAACAACAACAAAAATCATATACAGACATATCATTAACACACCTTACTTACAGAGGAACAATGATACAAATTACACCTGACCTCACTCAAAAACCATGTAAGCAAGAAGGAGTAAAATAAAGTATTTTAAGAGAAAAAAAACCCCACAAACCTAGAATTCCATGCCCCATTAAATTATCCTTCAAAAGGAGAAAAAAAAAAGACTTTCTCAGACAAACAAAAATTAAGAAAATTTGTTTCCAGTACATCTGCCTTAATAAACATGTTAAAAAAATTCTTCAGAGAGAAGAAAAATGATAAAGGTCAGAATTTCACATCTACATACAAAAACAGCATCAGAAAAAGCACAAGGTAAAATAAAAACTTTTCATTTTTGTTATTCTTAATTTATCTAATACATGTTTGTTCAAAATAATAATAGTAATATGTATTTAATTATGTATACTTGTGTGTGGCAGGCTTATGAACACTTACATAAAAGTAAAATGAATTACAGCAATGATACAAGAGAAAGGATGGCAGAATTAATATTTCTTTTATTATAAGAAACTCTGACTACCTGTAAAGTGGTATGGTGTTATCTAAAAGTAAACTTGAATTAGTTGCAAACATATAATGCAAATTCTAGGATAAACACTAAAAAGAAGTATAACAGACATGTTAATAGAGGAGAGAAAATCAAATCACATAAAATGCTGAATGAAAACAACAAAAGGCCAAAAAAGAGTGGAAGATAAAATCAGGAACAAAGAACAATGGCAAAAAATAGAAAATGACAACAAGTATGGTTGATATTAGTCCAATTACATCAATAATACTTTCATATTAAGGGTCTAAATCCATCAATTAAAAGATAGATTGTCAAGGCAGATAAATAAGACCCAACTATATATTGTCTATAAAAAAACTTACTTTTTAAAATTTTTCTTATATATTTATTTATTTGAGACAGGGTCTCACTCTGTCACTCAGGCTGGAGTGCAGTGTCGTGATCACAGCTCACTGGTCTCAACCTCCAGGGCTCAAGTGATCCTCCCACCTCAGCCTCCCAAGTAACTGGGACTACAGGCACACGCCAGCATGCCTGGCTAATTTCTGTATTTTTTTTGTAGAGACAGGGCTTCACCCAGGCTGTTCTTGAACTCCTGGGCTCAAGTGATCAGTCCACTTCTGCCTCCCAAAGTGCTAGGATTACAAGCATGAGCCATCACACCAACCCAAAACGCACTTTAAATATAAAGACAAATGTAGATTGAAAGAAAATAGAGAAATATATACCATACTAAAAAAAAGAAAGTGGGAGTGGCTATATTAATTTCAGACAGAACAAGAATCAGACCAAGGAAAGCTATCAGAGATAAAGAAGAGATTAAGTAATGACAAAGGTGTAATTCTGTAAAACTACATAACAGTCCTTAACAAGGATGTATCTAAAGACACAGTACCAAAATTACGAAGCAAAAAATGATAAAATTTAAAGAAAAAAATGACAAATCCACTGTTTTAGATGGAGACTTCAATATCCCTTTATCAGAAATAATCAGCTCCAGCAGACAGAAAATCAGTAAGGACATATTTGAACTTATAATCAACTGGATATAATAAACATCAAAGGACTGCTTCATACAGCAACAGCAGAGTACACATTCTTCTAAAGCTTACATAGAACATTCACCAACAGACCACATTCTAAGTCATAACACAGACCTACACGGTTTAAATATAAAATAAATCATACACTGTCTGCTCTCAGACCATAATGGAATTAAAGTAAAAATCAGTAACAGTAACATAACTTAAAAATGTCAAAATACTTGAAGATTAAATAACATGCCTCCAAAGAACACAAGACAAAGAAAAAAAAACTCAAGAAATAAAAATAATTTGAATTAAATGAGAATGAAAATACAAATTATCAAAATTTGTAGCATGCATTGAAAGCAATGCTTAGAGGGAAGTTTATAGTATTGGGTGCATATATCACAAAAAAAGGAAAGCCTAAAATCAATCACCTAAGCTTACACCTCAGGAAATTAGATAAATCCAAAATAAGAAGAAAAGAATTAAAATTAAAACAGAAATTAATAAAATTGAAAATACGAAATCAACAGAGAAAATAAACAAAACCAACAGCTAGCTCAATAAAAACCAGTAAGCCTCTCTAGCCAAGCTAAGAAAAAGAGTAAGAGGATACACATTCCTAATGTCAAAATGAAAGAGGAACACTGTTACAAATCCCAAGGACACTAAAATGATAATTTTCAAAATACTATAAACAACTCTATGCCTACAAATTTAATAACTTACATAAGATGGACCGATTCTTAACAGATACAAGCTGATGACCCTGAGTATAGTGATGACCTTTAGATATAACACCAAAGGCACAATCTATAAAACAAAGAATCAATACACTGGACTTCATTAAAAATTTAGAATTTCTGCTCTGCAAAATATGAGAAAATTAAAAGACAAGCCACAGATTGGGGGAAAATATTTGCAAAAGACCTATCTGATAAAGGACCGTTACCCAGAATATACAAGGAACTCTTAAAATTCAATATTAAGAAAACAAACAACTGTATTT